AGTCTTCAAATTGTCACATATGTTTTATTTAAATTTTTACCACAAAAACCCATATTCTTTTAAATACACATTTAACAAAATTGAAAAAATTGAATTACATGATTGTCTTTATATCAATTGTGATTTTAATATAGAATCAATACAAAAAGTCGAAGTGAGTTTGTTAAGTTGTAAACATTTTTATTTTGCATTAAATTCGTTGAACAACCAAATCGACTTGCAAATTGAACGATCATTTAATATGAAATTGGCAATCGAATCAAACATCAAAAACATTGTTATTAACGAATCCGATGATTTAATATTCACCCGAACAATAAATTGTGAGTTTGTGAAGTGGGTAGAATCAAAGAATATCAAAATCAAAATCATAGCCAGAAATGTTATTTTTGAACGTGTACAAAAAATACCATCGCAAATATCAATTAAACTAGTCAAATCAATTGAACTTTTAAATATAACAAAAAGAAAATTTAATATATCAGCACCTCTGTGCGAGGAACTTAAAATCAATTCCTGTAAAAACTGCAGATTTAAAATTACAACTCAATCAAAAAACAAAAAACTAATAATGGTCAACAACGTAAATGTAAAAGTTACTGGTAGCTTTAAAATCTTAAAACAAAAAGGTGTTTGTTACAAACTAAAAGGTTTAAATTACAATTGACATTTTTATTAATTTTTAATCAATTTTCAAAATTTCATTGAATTTTAATAATTTACAGGGGTGAAAATGAAGGTATTAATTTGAAAGCGAATATATTAATTTATGATTAATTTATTTTCAATTTATTGGCTAAAACTAACTAACGTGTAAATCATTAAATTTAAGCCATTTAATGCGACATAACTACAACAAAAAACAAGTAAATCTGGACAAAAACCACTATTTCCAACACATTCACGATTTTTAGAAAAGGAAAATATAGTTAATATAATAGTTACAATATTATAAAATATATTATAATTTTCAACACAAAAAATTATAACAATATTATTTATTTACTATACATTTTATTATTCTATGTTTATAATAAATTTATCATTATTTTGTTATTATTCAAACAACACTCGACATAAAAATGATTTACAATACTTTAAGTTGTGTTTCACGGCCTTCACGACCGGCCTGCGTATGAAAAACACAAACCAAAGGGTGATAATGAGCTGCATTAACCAATCTGAAAGTCAATATAACATTTTTTAAATAACTGCGTTGATAATAAATAAAAAATTAAACAAACAAACCATAAAGCTAACACTCACCCACGCGTTTAAACACACTTTAAATATTTATCAAGTTGTAAACGAGTTGTGTTTTGTTTTAAACCCCGAAAATACAATTGAATAATAACAAAATAACTATAAAACACTGTCAACTATTTTTAATGGATTAATTATAACAATTATTACTATTGATTCATTTTATAACTTTAGCTGATTATTAAAAACACACAAATTCATGATGAATTATTTATATAACTATTGATATAATTAAAATACTATTAAAATATTAATATGTTGGAATCGTTACAAAACATATTTATTGATTCTTTTCATTTTGTTTGCATTGTTTTTCATTGCAAAATTCAATTCAAAAAGGTTGGCTTAATTTACGAATCTTAAAACCTAGAAAAATGCCAAATATGGGCTCAAAACCCCCAAATTAATATAATTTAATAACTTATAACTTATAACTAACACCCTGTTTAAATATTTTAACTGTTTTTTGTGTTATTGTTTTAATTATTATAATACTATCACTTTAAAAACCAGATTTTAATGACTTTTTGCCAAATTCTACAAACATTATTTCTTTGCTTATGGGTGTTAAGTGAAAGTTTGTAAAATGATAATTGTCGTTAAAAAAACTATACAATATAATTTTGTTCTCTTAAGAGCGGGCATTTTTAAAACCAAATTTCAATTACCGTTCGATATATAACGCTATTTTTAGTTATAGTTTAAAAATGTCTGCATTTGAGAGAACCTGCCATTCAGATGTACCACTTTTGGGAGGTTTTACTATATTTGTTTTTTTTTATTTAATATTTCAATCAATAATGATTATTTTATTTAAAGTGATTTCTTTAAGGTGTGTAAGTTAAATTTTTATCGTTATTTTCACTTAGAAAAATAGTGCAAGACTAAATTTCAGTTAAAATGTTATTTTTTATAAAAATGTTTTTTTTCATAATTGTGTCTACATATTTACAACCTTTTAATGCTTCCATTTAAAAATTAAAGAACCAATTACATTAATAAAACGAAATGATAGTTTGTCCATGTGTTTAAAATGGAATAAATTTTTATTATTTCAACACGTATTAATAAATTAAATTAATGTGTTAATAAAATTTTTTGTATATTTCAACACATTAAAAAGTTACTTTAATGATTTTATTTAAATGTTAAAATTATAATAGTTTATAATATTTTATAACAAAACAGAGAATCGCAAAAGTGGCCGAGTGGTCCAAGGCGCTCTTTTTAGGTACGAGTCTTTTGGAAAACGCGGGTTTAAATATAGTTTTTGCATTTTATATACAGTTGATGCCTAATTTTCAATAAACACTTTTGAAAAGTGACCAAGACAATTTATAGCAAGGCTGTGAATTGTATTTAACAAGTGACCTGACACTGTAAATCTAAAAATGTCAAATTTTGTGTTCTGAACTTCTAAATTTATTATATAAAATAATAATGTCTATTGATAACCACAAAATCAAATATATAAATATATTGTTTATTATTGATCTAAAACGTTTTCATCATTCTATAAAGTTGTTAATCGAATATCGTTTTGACAATAATAAGGGTCACCAATAATAATCGTGTGTAATGATATAACTAAATATTATTGTGATAATAAACAATGAATTTGTTAAATTATAGTTCAGTTATATTAAATATAATTATAATATAATTAATCAAAGTAATGTTTTAAGCCAAAATCTGTTGTTATCAATGCAAATTGTTACAGCATTGAAAGTTACAATTAAATTATTATCATTAATATTTACATGCAGTATAATGGTTTATACAAATATATATATAAAACAAATTTATTTAGTGGGTACTTATAAAAAAACACACATTTAAATTTAAATTTTGTATTTTTTTTGATATATCACCAAAATTTTATTCTAACAAAATAATTATAATTGATTATTTTTGGGAATAATGAAAATTGTATTGTTATTTTTGTTCAAAATTAATTTTCACAGTCTAAAATAAACCTTGTTTCTGACAACCCATTTTACAACTCATTGTAATTCGAAAAGAAGTTTGAAACATTTTCTGCGTTTTATAAAAAACGTTTTTCTTGTTATAGTGTTCAAATAAAATAACCAAATCAACTGTGTTTATTCACTTTTAGATATTTAAAATGATTTAATAAATGGTTGTAACCTTATTTTTTGTCATTTTTTTTGTTATTGGTTATATGGTTTTTAAATAGTTATATTAATTATACTATTTTTTATTTTTTTCCTGTAAGTTGGGAACATTATCAACCAAAAAAGTTATTAAAAGAATAAATAACGTTTTTAAAATGATTTTATTGTTTTTTAAGTTCACCAGAAAATTGTCGTACACTTGGTTTTTAAACTATTTTTTTATAATATTTTTTGAACCCCGTTTTTTCCTGAATGTTCAAACAAATTATAAGTGTAAAAATTTATTCCTGATTTTTGTTTTATTTAATTATTAATAATTTATTTTGAACTTTTCCTGAAATTGCACAATTTTTTTATTTGTTAATATTTTTTCCTATAATTTAATGACAATTTGAACTGATTCTTAGATTAATTGATTGTTAATTAAATGTTAATTAATATATTTATACAAAATAAACTATCATTGAATCTATTAATATATTATCATTTGTCAATTATATCTAAAAATAAACACAAATTAAATATATAAATAACTTGTTGAATTTAAATAAAAATACATTTCTGTGACTTTTTTGTTGTGTTACTTATTTGTAATAATTAATAAAAACCAGACTGTATAATAACAAATAGTGTTATTGTTTAATGTTATTTTGTACAATAAAAATATGATATTTGTAATAGTAATGATAGGTCTGTGTTAGGGTACTAATTAATTGTTTTATTCTATTATTTAAGTCTATTGAAATTAACAGAACACAATCAGTTTGTCGTGTTTGTTGATAGACAATTTTATATTTATTTCTTGACTTTTCAAATATCAGTTATTTTTGAATTCTAATAAAAAAACCATAAAATATAAAACTAAAGTGACTTCCCAAGGTGTGCAAGTTAGTTTAAAGGTGTGCAAGTTAAGGTATAGTTCATTTATAATTTTTTTATTAAAAAATAGAATCATTAATTTTTTGAAATTTTGAAAAAAAAAGATTATTTTTAGTTTAATTATTAATTATAATTTTGAAGTTATTACTAAACTATTCTTTAACTTGCACACCTTGTGACGTTGCAATTTTTAACTTTCACACTTTGAATACAATTAATTAAGCAACAATTTCGGGAAAGCGACCCAATGGAAATTATCGAAGGACCAGTTCTAAACAACAGTGCACATCGATTTGTAACAATGAACACCTATTAAACAGACCATTTGTTATTGTTTGCTATAAAATGGCACAGAAAAAAACATAATGTTTATCATACTTCTTCTTGTCGCTTTGAATTACGCTGACACAAGAGACATCGACATTTATTCACGTTCTTGAAACAAAACTGTTTTTACATTAAACACACAGACAAACCATTACCCAATTTTTATAATTTAATTTGCTTTTTGTAGTTTATTAATTCAAGCACCAAAGGGTTGTGTGTTTTTTGAAACAATTTTGAAACGAATAACATTTTTAATAAAATGTTTTTGAACTAAAATTTAGTCTTGCACGCCCTTTCCCTGTAAAAAAGACTAAAAATTTTAACTTGCACACCTTGGGGAAGTCACTTTAATTAATATATTTTTTTAATATATACAATAATATACAATAAAACAAAAAACCAAAAATCGCTGAGTGAACACATTGAAATGCACTAAAATATACTTCCCAATTAAAACTACCACAACATAATAACATTGCTATTTATTTTCATTAACAAAGCAATTAACAATAAAAATAATACTTTTGTTTAAACTTAAAAATATACTCATATTTTTAAATAAAATAAAATATCAATAAATAGACTAAATACAAAAGAAAAAAAGAGACACGATGGCTTTGTATTGACTATTTTTAATTGGTAGGATAGACAGCACATTTATATTAAACATTTTTAAATTTTATTGTCTTAAAAAACAAAAATAAAAAATTGTGTGCATTGAATACGATATTAAACATCAAAGAAATCAGAACATGGCATATAAAGATGCAAATTTCTTGTGTTACAACATAATATAAATAGTTTATTGTTTTTGTTTTTGATAAAAAATACGAAAAATATAAATAGAAAAAATAATTAATATTTAAAGCAAGAATTTAATAAACAAACACATCAAATTAAAATAATGACAACTGAAGATTATCTGACTGTTTCTCTTTATTATGTTCACATGACCAAATGGAGTTTAACAATTCAAGTAAATTTATTATAAGCTTGAAAAAATTACCAATATTTGCAAATATATTTTAACTATGAAAAGATATTATGAAGAACAAATTAAAAATCATTGACATTGTAAATTTATCAAGCATTCGAATGAAAAATTAAACAGACCATGTTCAATATGGTAATAATAAGATAACATGTGTCGAATTTGTTATCTTTTTAAGATAACAACAAAAGATAATCAAATCACACATATACACAAAATTGAAGGCGGCATTTGCAAATAAGCAACAAAAAACATTCAAAAATATTTTCTGCAATACACTATTATTACAAAATAAGCGCCTTCCTCCTTTGGTCAGTAAAACATTGTTGGAATAAAAATAAAGGTTGTTTTTTTGTCAAACATTTAATATATTAATCATGTAGAATATTTGCATTTAACGATGGGCCGGCTCATAATGAGTCGGCAAATCATGTATATGAAAATATACATGATTATTTCTACAATCAAAATGATTTTTATTACAACAAATCAAGTAAAATTGATCAAAAACCGAACTTTGTTTACTTTAAACAATCACGAACAAAATAGGAAAGGTTTAATATACATGTTCCCACAGTAACATTCTCGTTTAGAGCTCCAAATGTTGTTGAGGACTTTATTGACAATAATAAAAATTATTTGTGTAACACCAGCTTCTCAAGTGTCAATGTTAATGCTCTAATAGATTCAAAGTACTCAGAAGAAGTGTATGATGGAAGTATTTAAGTTTACTGTGACACAATTAATGTAATAATGATATCCTTGTTATCTATTAAAAACTAATTTACATTATTTCTACGTTTCCACACAAGTTATCTAAAATTAAACATCAGACACGTTCTTTTTTTCATTCATCAATGTGTCAGTTTATCATTCACAGTCTCCATCAAATATGGTTTTATTGCATTTTTATATGACTTTTTCAAGTCAATTCTATTACATTTGTTTTTTACAACGACACCAAAAAACCTCAAAGAATTTTTTCACTGAATTCAAAATTTCGAGTTCATCAAATTGTTTGTGTTACAATTAATCGTTCTTTCTATTTCACTCAATTTGCAACAAAATCGGTTGGTCTTCATTTTATACATCAGCAATAGCATCTTTACATGCACTCGGCTCTTCATTAAAAACATCAGATATTCTTCAATTAAGTTAAACACAGAGAATATCAACAATGACATAGCCATAAAACAATTAAATATCGAATATTATTACAAACAAATCATGAATTAAGTTATCATCTTCCTCGTTTTTAGAAATAAATGAGGGCCACTGAAAGACATCTCAACTGTATGTCACTACTTCTTCTATGAACTAGAACAGGATCTCATTATTTTTACAGGATATTTAGGCATAGGATGGCAAGGAGTGTCAGATCTCTAGCCAAGAACACTACTCATGGTGCAGCATCTTTCATTTCTGGGATGTCGAAGTCTTTTGTTGCTTTTTTAAATTTTGATCAGGCGTACATTGACAAGAGAAATGCAGACTGCTGTGCGAAAACGACAGAAGAAGGAATGAGAAATGGTTCAAAGTCGTTTTCAAGTGGAATGTTCAATGGTGTTGCTGTGTTAGTGTATCAGCTTGTTGTTGGTGCCCAGTAATATGGTGTTGGTTAATTCTTTGCTGGTGTCCGAAAATGAGTCATTAGTGCAATTGATTTAGAACCCAGGAGTGTCAATTACAAATTTATGATGAAGTTGTACAACAAAAACGAGTATTTCTTACTATAGTTGATGAGAAACACCAAATAAAAACTGTACTGGGTTTCTTATTTGTCACAATAGACACGTGCTTGAGTTTTTTGAAGTAAAGCACTTCTACGTCAATGAAAACAAAGACAACAAAGACTTCAAATACCCATCACTTAAAATTAACAGAATAGTTGATTAGCTTCAAGTCGTTTGTAAAGCAGTGAAGTATGGCCATTCGCTCGGAGAAAAAGTTCACATTCCATTGAGCTTTTTGAAAAGATCTCAGAATGTGATCAAATTTAATTAAATTCATCTTTTCTTTGTTTATAACTGTATGATATAACAAATAGTCAAACAATAATTTGAAATGTTTTATAACAAGAGTTTTTAATTGGACATCATGTCAAAAAAAACTAATGCCTTTCATCGGGACAAGAACTACCGCACGAATGTCCATTGCACCAGACTCATCCTCAACATTGACATTAAAAATAAATGTGTAAACAATTTCATGTTATTAAAAACAGAAAACTTCAAGGGAAAATAGTTTTTATTATATTTTACCTTTTATATTAAAGGGTTTCTTGAGGATAAGGTGTATCCTCAGGATTTAAGCTATCCTTATTAAAAAATATTTTTCTGAGGATACAAAAATCAAATCCATAAGGTTCAGTTCCCCATAAGGCCCACTCTCATAACTCAAGTTATAATTTACACTTAATATTTCGAGTCAAAGTTCAAATTTTAAATAATGGTAATAATTTGTCATAAATGCCAAAAAAATAAATACAATCAAAAAATCGCCACAATAATCAGTAAACAAAAACAATAATTATATCTCGCGAACTTGAGACGGGAAATAACAAATTGTGAATTCAACTTGTTCGTATTATGATTATATACTTATTGAAATTATTTCCGAATCCGTCTTTATAACATAATAATTAAATTTACATTTAAATTGATAATTATTTTTTTATCAAAATGAAAAATTGAAAAAGTCGAAAACACTGATTTAATAAAAATGTATATTAAAATAACAAATTTATTAATAATTTTGTAATTTATGCAATTATTCAAATATATTATAATTACGAAGTTAATCATGTTGTGTATATTTTAATATGATTGTTTCATTTTGATATTAACTTATGTTTTAAACATATTTACAGTTCTGAGGATGGCAATTATTTTCTGAGGATGACAGAAATAGAAAGTTTACACTTTTACATCTGTCTGAAATGTATATTGAGTAAGTTACTATTTTTGAATATGGGAACACGTCATTTCACTTTTTAGATGTTTAAGTCTGTGTTGATAATGTCTGTTTGTTACACGACTTACCATCCTCAGAGATATTTATAGCACTGCCACTATTG